CCCCAAAACCCCAAAACCCCGTGAATATTAATAACTTACTCAAAACTGAGAAAATATTTATTGTAATTTAGTATTCATAATCTTAAAAATGAATCGGCAACAAGAGAACACCCTTATTCTAAATTAAAAATTCCAAGTATACTCTACACAGCTTCTTAACCTGACCACTAAGTACTCAAACTCAAATGAACACCAATAAATAGATATTTCTGATATAGAATCAATCTTGAAAGACATTATTAAGTTGACTAAAATAGAGATTGAAAGTGCTAATCCACTGAAGGATTTCTTTAGTTAGCAATTCTATAATGAAGTTAGTGGATTTATAAAGAGCAATAATAAGTATCCAGTGAAGGGGCTGATAGATATGAATCATGTTTTGAATCTTTTTGTTATATTCATGAACTCTAAGGCTTCCTTCTATACTATTGTAGACTTGGATAAGAGCATACCAAAAGTTAATGCAGATGAAGGTGAGAGTGAATATGACGAGGAAGAATATGAAGAAGAGTATGAGGAGGAATATGAAGATGAAGAAGAAGAAACCAAAAATGAATAGCAGCAAGTTCAAAATTAAGTTGCTGTGCTGGATAATTAAGCAGAAAAAGTGGAAGCTTAATATTTGACTCACTAAAAAACACCAAAGTTAAAGGTAAGAGCGCCAAAGTTAAAAGGTGTGTAAAGAGAGTAAGATGACTTGCTTGATTTAATAGATGGAGGCGATTTCTTCGGAAAACCAAAAGATAAAAAGACAAAGAAGAATAATAAAACAAATAAAGAAGGTAAAAAGAAAAAAGTCAAAGTTGAAAAAAGATAAGAAGAGCAGAAAGTTGAAAACTTATTCGATGAACAATAAGAAGTCAGAGATTTAAGAGAGAGTCAAGTAAACTCTCAATTGATTAGAGATAATGATCATGATTTAATTGATGCATCTGCTTACGATAAAAAGCCTATTGAAAAAATAATTCAAATTCCTAAAATGCGGCCAGCATTTAACATCATTACAATGCAATCAGAATTCTCTTAGTAAGGTGTCAAATAAGTATAAATTCCAAAGACTAAGGCAGTCTTAGAATATATACGCCATAATTATTAAGCTTAAACCAATACAGAATTTAAGATGGATATGATATTACCTGCAATTTCGCATGCCTATGGATAAATAAAGTATTCAGCTAAAATAACATAGGATTTTAAGATGCCGATATAGATACCATAGGTAAAGTCTATGTTTGAAAAGATTACTTATTCAAATGAGATCAATTAATCCTAGTAGGCAACAATAAGTATTCCAGTTCAAAAGCCAATAATAGAGAAAATTACAAAAGCTATACTAGTCAAACAATCTTGGGTAATGACTATAAATAAATCAGCTATGAAACCTGCTTATGAACAAATAGAGTAATCAATATCATAGAACGCCTAGTGGGAAAAAATCTTCTAAATATAGAAAAAGGTCAAGCCAATATTTAAAAAGATATCCTTGGATTGCAAATAATTCTCAATATGGGTAAAAACCTTTGAAGTCTAGTTGCCAAAGCCTGCATTTGAAATTATTGAAATGAGTACTTAACATAATTTAAGTTGGGAAAAGTAGACTGAAATCAAATTAGTGCCAGCACTTAATGGTGTAATGCATCATCAATGTGAGAGATAATCTTTTTGGGAAAAGCAAATAGAAATTCCAGTCATTACAAAGGGCTATGGTTTGATAGATTATAGGTGCTAATTGTAGTAAGAGTGGGCAAAAGAAATTAAGATGCCGTTAATCAAAGCTTAATATAGTAGACTTAAATATGAAGCAGAGAGTAAAACTAGATATTAGTTGCCAATAAATATATAAAGACCTGAGGCATTTTATGATAAGATTATTATGAGTAAAGAAATTGATCATTTATGGGAGTTTGAATTAATAATACCTAAGATACGAGCTTATAAACGAAAATTAAATCTCTATGCAGAACTTAAAATCCCCTTATAAAAAGTTCCAATGCATATTAAATTGATCTAAAGTGTCTCTAGCAAGACATTAGACTAAACTTATTAATGTGAAACAGCGGAGATTTATTTTTAGAATATCTCTGCAAATTATGAAACCATTCAATATGAATGTGAAGTAAAGCTTTTTGATAAGTAGTCAATATCCTTAATCAATTAATCTCGAAGCAATAAAGGTTCTAAATCATAGTTCAATTAAACGACAGATAATTAAACTTTCTTTGAATAAACAAATGAAAATATAGATAATAGGTAGCTTGTTTCTGCCGGGAAGCTAATTAATAATACTATTGATAATTATGCTAAGACTATAGAATAAATTGAAGATTCTGAAAATAAACTAACAATGAACTTATTGATTGAGTAGATGAAGTAGTAGATTTATGGAAAGTAAAAAAGAACATAAAGTCTCATTAAAACAATACCTAAGGACTAAATGCCTACAAATTAGTAATTAATTGCTGATAAATAAATTCAAGATTTGGTAGGTGATAAGTAAAGAGTTATACTTCCTCAATTCGAAATGCAATAAAAACTAAATAAAATATTTCTTCATTATGGGAGAAATAGAAATAATTCAAAGGTAGACTATACCTTCGATACCATTCATCAGGGTAATAACACGATAACAATCAACAAACTTATGATTATCTTTCATGATTTTGGCTTAAAGTTTAATCCTGTCAAGGTAGCTGAGATCTTTAAAAAGGTGGCACCAGACTCCTTACATCTTGAAAAGGAGCAATTCTTAGAGCTATTAGTAAAAATCTACTAAAACAAGCACCAAGCTGAATTAGAGGCACTCAAACGAAAGATTAAAACAATAAACTTTAAGATAAAAGATGATTAAGAGGATAAAATTTTAAAGAGTAAAAAACTCGATTATAAGGAGAGAATATACGAGTTGTAAGATATAGTAAAGGATGAATCTGAGCAATTAGATTTAATTGCAACTGATTTCTGCCTAAAAGATGATTAGTTCTAGACTAAGATGCGAAATCATATGTTTAGGATAAATTTCTATGAAGCTAATATTCAGTAAAATAAAGATAATAATGCTGCTAAGAATTTTGTTGGAGCTAATATTAAGAATGTGAATTAGCATAATGAAAGTAGTTTTATGAAAATAGCATAAACTGATAATATCATTAGAAGTAACAGGTCTAGTCCTCGAGCAATCAAACCAAAAAATATTTTAGATCGATTGATTATTGAGAAATAACTTAAAGAAGATGAAATGTCTTTTAGAGATTAACTCAGAGATTAGTCTAGAATGCGCAGGAAATTTTTAACATCATAAAAGCTTGAACCAATAGAACGTAATAGATCAATATCAGAGTCAAAATAAAGAAAATACTACAACTTGAATATTACTGAGGATAACAGTGGTATTAAAAGCTTAATTGATTAATAAGCTGATTATTTTGAAACTACTCTTAACAAAAATATTGCTAATCGTGAAATGAAGTCTATGATTATTAAAAAGAAAATTCAGACAAATCCTAATAGTGCTGTTGTTTCCCCTCGAAGTTAAAATTGGATTGGCTAGAAATAAGTATAGAAAATTAAAATAAATTCTAAGATTGCTCATTCATGCTTTTGATTTTCTACACATCAATTATGGGGTTTTGGGGTTTTGGGGAGATCGGAAGAGCGTCGTGTA